GCAGGGTTACTCGTGGTCCCTAAAGTCTCCAAAAGTAGATCAGGAGCTAGAGCCTTCAGCTATCAGGCTCCTCTCCTGTGGAATCATCTTCCTGTGGTGGTCCGGGAGGCAGACACCGTCTCCACATTTAAGACTAGACTTAAGACTTTCCTCTTTGATAAAGCTTATAGTTAGGGCTGGCTCAGGCTTGCCTTGTACCAGCCCCTAGTTAGGCTGACTTAGGCCTAGTCTGCCAGGGGACCTCCTATAATACACCGGGCACCTTCTCACTCTCACTCTCTCTCACTCTCACTCTCTCTCTCTCTCTCATATTCTATTACTGCATCTTGCTAACTTGGCCATTCTGGATGTCACTAACTCGGCTTCTTCTCCGGAGCCTTTGTGCTCCACTGTCTCTCAGATTAATTCATATCGCAGCGGTGCCTGGACAGCGTGACGTGTGTGGTTGTGCTGCCGCCGTGGTCCTGCCAGATGCCTCCTGCTGCTGCTGCTGCCATCATTAGTCATTAGTCATACTTCTACTGTTATTATACACATATGACTATTGTCACACACGTATACTGCCAGATATTAATACATACTTTCAACATATTGTACCACAGTAGCCAGAACTATAACTATAATATTATTACTTTCAATAATGTTGTTGTAAGCTACTGTCATTACCTGCATATCTCTCTCTATCTCTCTCTCTCTCACTCTCTCTCTCTCTCATTGTGTCATGCGGATTACTGTTAATTTATTATGCTGATCTGTTCTGTACGACATCTATTGCACGTCTGTCCGTCCTGGAAGAGGGATCCCTCCTCAGTTGCTCTTCCTGAGGTTTCTACTGTTTTTTTTCCCCGTTAAAGGGGTTTTTTTGGGGAGTTTTTCCTTATCCGCTGTGAGGGTCATAAGGACAGAGGGATGTCGTATGCTGTAAAGCCCTGAGAGGCAAATTGTGATTTGTGATATTGGGCTTTATAAATAAAATTGATTGAAACTGATTGATTGACTCCTTTGAGGACAGCAATGTGCACATCTTGGCCAGGGAAGAAAGATGGTTTGAAAGAGTGAGTAAAAGAAGCCATCTACCTCAAGCTGGAACAAACATTGTTTAACAGAGGGGTGGCTAACGAGACCACTTATCACCAACCTACAATTGGGAACCCTCCCCAGACGACTTCACACCCATTCACCCCTGGTCGCACCTGACCCTAACAAGTCACATGGTGGCCAGGTGGGTCAACGACTCACATTGTGACCTTAACGACTCTGAATCTAAGAGCTCATATGTGAGAGGTGAAACGTCTTCAAGACACACAAGCAAGTCCAGTTGCCTACGATATAGCACTTACGATTACCATGACCTGGACGACTGAGATCTACACAAATATTTAGTATATTAAAAAATTCTTCGATCTTTAACATAAAGCTGTGAAAAATGGGAGCAAAAACAAAAGCGTTGCTGTGGTGGCAAAAAAGATCTAGAAATGTCTGACAGTTGAGTTAAAGTTAGAAGCAAAACATGTTTACTAAAATCCTGAATGGTTTCACTCTGGGGTGAAGTCTAAGAGCAGACTGACCTGGCAAACATTGTGTTGGTGAAACAAGTTCTGGGAAATGGCAAAAAAAAATCACACACACACACACAGAAAGTTAGGTATGATGTTAGTCTGAGGAAGAGTATAGGAATGTTTGGCGAACTGTTTGCAGACTCTTTAAAAATTAATTTGATGGCAGGATGCATGGTGTAATGATGAAGAGTGTGAGCAGCAGAGCTTCCACCACAAACTCAGTAATCATTAGCACAAAAACATATTTTTTAGGCTTGTTTGCAAGAGGTTACATACTGTTAACGAGGATGTCTATACGTCCCAACTCTCTCAGTGTCTCATCCACAGCAGCTGAGATGCTCTCCGGCTGCCTCACATCTATACACAAAGGGAGGCAGCGGCGGCCTGACGCTGCAGACAGCTTTTTAGCTGCCTAGGGAAACACACAATAATTTACTTTAACATTTAGTAATGGTGTAAGATATATGATTTAGGATTGTGGAAACTGTGTGAGAGGAATCACCTCTCTGAGCTTGTCCAAGTTCCTGCTCGCAATCACTGTGTCACAGCCATGCCTGAAAGAAAAGAAAGAAATATACTTAACAATACCAAAGAGAGCATGCTGTACTGTTTGGATTAGAACATTAATTGAATATGTTATGCTTGCATAAGTTAGGCTGATATGGAGACAGAGGAAGTAACATATGGAGGATGGGAATGTAAGTGAGGGGCAGTAGGTAGTAAATACAATGTAAAAAATGAGAAATGAGGTAAATGTCAAAGTCAAAAGCAACAGCTCCATCTTGGGGTGAATCTAACTGCTTGCAAAACAGACACCAAGAGATGACTTTACAAGGTCCCTGCCACTGATTGTGATAAAAAATATTAACTATTTCTGCCACATAAGTAAATTAGTGAACCATTTCAACTTTGTTGCACAAACAAAAGATGAAAGTCTAGCTGTAAGATTACATAATCAAAAGGTTTAAAGTACAGCTGCATACTATCTCACTTACACATTTTACTGCTGCAGAGTAAGAGTATGACATAATGCTGGCAGAGTATTGATTCTACGACGTATTTGTTCTTCTACTATACATGCACTAGTAATATCTGTGAATGTAAGGAGTCAAATTTGACTTAATATAGTCTAATATTTCTGCAAGATCTGGGCATGTTTTGGTTACACAAATGCGTTACCCTCTCACCTCATGAAGATTTCAGCTATCCTGAGTCCAATTCCAGATCCACCACCTGTGATAAAAGCAACCTGATCTCTGAAAAAAAAAGTAAACCACCCTCATAAGTCACTTCATGTAGTTACTGCAGTGACATGCATCATTCAATGTGTGAATGCAGTAAAGCAGTTAGATCACACCGAGCATTAGAAACACATTTAAAGGTTTTCATGCGTACTTTAGTAGATCTGGACTATAGATGTGTGTGTACGAAGTCAGGCAGTCATCCGTGCCAACATCCTCGGGTAGCAGCTCTCCTTTTCTCTGTGGCTCTGCCATACTGATAAATAATGCATGTTAATGGGATGCAATCACACTGGTATTACTATAATGATAAGGCAGTAATTGACTGGTTTGTAAATGCAGGAGTTGCACCAAATAACAGAAACATCTCAAAATACAACAACCCTCTACAGCAGTTGGTAAAACTGGAAAAAATCAACTAAACTTAGCGTTATTTTGTTTGTAAAACTCTACTTCATCCTGTTTTTACTATTGTATTTCAGAACATTTGTGTGCACTTGATGTTTGTAACCAGTGCCACATTACAGAATTTCAAAATAAAATCACAGTTATAGTAGCAGCTGTATCAGATGTGGCATTTTAACAGGTATGTTGTTAAGGCAGTTACCATGATGAGTCATGGTAGAAAGTTGCCTCACAACACTGCACCTCAAGGCTTTAAACCCTGACTGACACTGCTTTAACCAACCGACTTGTTATTTTGTCTATCCCCTAAACATATTTTAAGCTAGTCTTTTAACTATCTACAGCTAGCAGTGCAACAACAGTGTTTAACTGGCAGGGCTGTGAAGTTAATTTTAGTTGACATGTAACGTTAGCTAACTTAACTGCTGTCGTATTAACGTTACCTTCTGAGGAAACAAGCTAGTTTTACAGCGCTGAACGAACCGTTACCTCCTCTTTGGTGAAACACAATCTCGACACGAAGCACGTTACTAACTGACGGGTCACCTTTATTCCTCACCCATTAGGTGTTTCTTTCCAGTGCGAACTATTTGTACTTTGACACTACTCCTTTCGCGAAGCGTTATGGGTAATGAAGTCGGGACAAGGTGTGTTCAAGAGCCCACATATCTCAGGCTGAGTCTGACATTCCGTGCTAACATGATATTTAGTTGGTTGAAACACTATGTGATTGCTAAAAAATATATCACATACATTTTTACCCCATGTCCGCAACCTTATTATGTAAATTAAATACTATTGACATATTACAGTGTACAAACACTGGGCACTACGCCAGCATACAAATCCTGGCAGCTCTGTAATCTCAATAAATATAAAAAATAAAATAATAAGATAAAGTAATAGCCAATTTCACCAAAGGCCAAAATAGTACAGTTTAAAATCATTAGTAGATATTATCCAGCAGCAGAAATGAAAAAAAAAGTGCCAAACTGGTTTTGAGGCTGACCTCTGTTGTTTTTGTTTTGCAGGGCCTGAACTATTGAATCTATTAAATTGATCTTTTTTATTCATGTCAGTCACATTTCAGTTTTGGCAGTATGTGAATGATTGGCTAAATATTAACATAGAAAATATCACATCACTTGACGCGTACCAAAGTCTAATTTACAAAGATAACCTCTTCAAAGAAATATCTGTTTTATTTGTATAGTACTAAGATTTAATATCTTACTACTATACAAATAAAACAGGGTCAAAATTCAGAAAATACTGGGAGCATTAAACTTTAGAGGTCAGGCTCTATTTGATTCACGCCAGAAAGAGAAACTATCAGACAGCATCACGCTCTGGGGACTGTATAGTGGTAATCTGAAGAGCGGAGGAGAACCCAGTGATTCTGTTGCTCATTTACAATAAGCATCATCCTCTAGGATGGCACCAGCGAGGTTCTCCACTGGTAAACCAACACTGAAATAAACGATCCAGGGTTTTCAGTTTCAGGGCCGATGCTGATCGCTGTGCATTAGTGCCGAGAGTGGCCCTTATTGATCTGTACTTTGGGATTTACTGTTGGAAAAAGCCCTATGCAATTGATCCCTCAAATACTTTTGGGATGGATATTCTTCTGTGCACTGAGAGATCTGAGACGATCAGAAATGTAAGATGAGTGCTTTTGTAATTTGATTTGTTTTGCTGGAGGCAGGAATAAACAAGAACAGGAGCAGAAGTGCACTTATAACAGGGCAGAATTAGAATAAATGGTAATGGATGCTCGTAAGTTTTACACCACAGATAGTTTTAACAGGGTGGATCCAGCGTTTGGTTTTTATTCAAAGCAGTTTTATGTGTTGAGTGTGTTTTTCTACTTTCTTACTATTGGCTTTCATTGTTCTTGTATAATCTAGGATGCAAATCCTTACAGTTTATCAAGAAAATGAATTTACATTGTCTGTCTGATTTGCAGTGCATTGCAGTCTAATGCAAACTGAATCACCATGCAACATTACACAAATTTGATTTTTAAAAAAGGCAGATAATGTTTCTGTGATGGATAAAAATCAGGCAATTCCAAGAGTCTGCAAGCTGACTCCAGATTCAAACAGTCCAAATCAAAGACTCCAAGATGAAGAAATCATTAAAACATCTGAAACACAACTGCACACCTGGATAAATGGTCAGCAGGAAACTCCAACAGTCTGTTTTGATGCTCGCAGCCAGATGGCGCTATCTGTCAGTGTTTTACTACTTGAACCCACAATGATAAAAACACATGCAGGGCTGTCAATGTAGTCCTACACTTACAATAAGTAAGAATGCCTCCCTCATGCTTCAAATTACTAAGACATGCTTGAAATCATTAAGCATGTGAAACACTGTCTGTGCATCTGTGTGATCAGATTTTAGGGGTGAAATGTTCGAGCAAGCATAAAAACAACAAAAGAATGGTAAGATTTTGATTTCCAGGTTAATTAAAGTTCAAATATTCATGTTTTATGGCTGATATTTTTAATTTCAGTGGCTTTTTGGGTCGTCATCCTTACTATTTATTATCTATTATTTTCAGGTGAGATGTTTCTCTGAGCTCCTTCAGTTTCAACTCCACATACTGTATACATCTAAATAGTCTTTTGTCCTTGTAAGCACTGTATTATAGCAGTTCATATAATTTTTCCAATGTTTCTGAATTAATATAAATAATTTAAAGTGAGAATATGTGATGCTAAACCTTGTTCAACAGGAGTGCAAGAAGAGGAGTCAATGAAACATACACTCACTAATTCAGTCACGCAGCAATATCTATTGCTGCTAACGTTAACATTAGTGTTAGCGTAAAGCAGTGTTCTCTTCAGCACTGTTTAAAATTACAATGTGTAATGGTTGGAGGCTGCCAGCTACTTATCGTCATGGATTTTCAGGCAGTTGTTTCGATTTTACTTGGTATCTATCACATATATAAACCAAGAGATGTGTAAAGGAGCTGGATACAGCGTTGAAGGGTGGGCCTATTTTCATTCCTATGACAGTTGCTCAGTGGTACATGAAGCCAGAAACAGTCTGACTTCTGAAAAAAAAAATTCTGCATCCATGTTACCAAAGAGCAAATGTCTAAGTGTTTCCTTTAAACCCACCTCCAAGCCTCTGGTCTCAGGATATACCTAAAAAAATAAATAAATGAATAAAAACAAAAAATTTACTAATTAACAGACATATCTTTTACAATTCACGTATATGAAGTAGTAAGTAGTGACTCAAGTCCAAGTCAGGTGACTCGAGTCCACACCTCTGCTAAAACGTCACTGAATGTCAATGCTGAATCATCCCTGAATGATGACGAAGCTTATCTGATGTCACCGCACCCCGCGCAGAGTTAGGTCGTAAACCCCTGAGTGTATTAAAGTGAGTAAGAGAGTGTTTGTTTCTAAATTCAACTTTAAGTGCTATACTTCCTTTAAAATGCTCCCGTCTTACCTAAAAAAAACGAGTCAGAGTCCGCCGTCAAAGGTTGACATGTTTTACAGAAAATATCCTGATGCAGGAACATAAAGGCATGAACAAAAGCCTGCCTTTACACAGACGACCAGACTCACAGCCTCAGACGGTTAATTGTTCCAACAAGCCTGGCACAGCTAAAGCCATAAAGGTCCATTATTCCCTGCTGGCCCAGAGGCCAGAGTGGCCCTACAGCCCCACAGCACTGACAACTGGTCCTGGGCTCTGTCCTTGTCTCTGTGCTGGGAGAGTCTCTGCAGCTTTGCTCTGGACCTCTGTTGGTGGGTTTGTGTTGCCAGACTGTCCTTCCTCCTCCAGACCCACCAGCCTGCTGCTGACCTCCCACAGCCTGCGAGCTGCCTCCTCATCCAGGGCCTGGGGCGCCGGTTCCTTCTCTGTCATCACATCATAGTACCTTCCCGTCACCCCCTCCATCTCCTCAGACACTGCCAGGTAGACGCTGGGCTGGGCCCCCAGCTCTGGGCTCTTAACCAACAGGGAGAAAAAGGGACCTGTAGGGGGGGTTGATGGAGATTTCAGGTTTGGTTTTAAACTCAGCAGGAATGTTTTAACCATCTTTCACATCAGAATACAAGTCCTTTATCAAATGAATCAGCCAGTGTCAAGTACCACTCCAACTACTCAACTACTTAATGGAATCATGTTGTCTGAGTCATGTTAAGAAATTAAACACTTACATGAATGTGCACCAACTGAGTTTACTCATATCCGAATCTGGCAATGTTGCATTGTAGACTTTTATTATCTTCTTCACTGATTATAAATGAGCTCAATAACAAACACTGTTTCCACACAGTGGAGGATTTTTATTACCCATGAGTGCATGTAATTAAAAAAAAATACTCATTGCTGAACAAAAATAAAAAACATACATTTAGTGATCCCCGGAATGAGTAACAAGAAGCTGTATCACATTAGCACTGGTGAATATTGAATATATATGTAAGATAATTTGACAGCTGCAATAGAGACTCCTCAGCTCTGATTAGTTGGTTTTGATGTTTCATGTACTTCTTTCAGAATGAAATGACAATTTCAACTTCCATCCATCCATTTTCGTAAACGCTTATCCTTGAGGGTCGCGGGGGGACTGGAGCCTATCCCAGCTGACATTGGGCGAGAGGCGGGGTACTCCATGGACAGGTCGCCAGACTGTCACAGGGCTGACACATAGAGACAGACAACCATTCACACTCACATTCACACCTACGGACAATTTAGAGTCACCAATTAACCTGCATGTCTTTGGACTGTGGGAGGAAGCTGGAGTACCCATACACACATGCACTAACATGCATGCACGGCCGGACCAGCTTGCCGCAACAAACCACAGAGAAGCTCAGATTACAACACACACGGAGGGAGCCTCACTTTATTCTCTACTCAGAACGCCATTACTCCACTTTATCTTTAGACCACAAATCGTGGTTTGCTGCTGCATTAATGCTCTAAACATCCCATACAGAACCATCCATCCATTTTCATCCGCTTATCTGAAGCCAGGTTGCAGGGGCAGCAGGCCAAGCAAGGCAACCCAGACGTTCCTCTCCCTAGCTCCTCCTGGGGGACCCCAAGGTGTTCCCAGGCCAGATGAGATATATAATCCCTCCAGTGTCTTCTGGGTCTGCCCTGGGGCCTCCTACCAGTGGGACATGCCTGGGGCACCTCTAACAGGAGGCGCCCTGGAGGCATCCTGATCAACCACCTCAACTGAGCCCTTTAGACGCGAAGGTGCAGCGGCTCTACTCCGAGCACCCTCCAGATGTCCGAGCTCCTTACCCTATCTCTAAGGCTGAGCCCAGCCACCCTATGGAGGAAACTCATTCAGGCTGCTTGTATCTGCAACCTCATTCTTTCGGTCACTACCAAGTACTCATGACCGTAGCTGAGGGTTAGGACGTAGATGGACCAGTAAATAGAAAGCTTCATCTTCCAGCTCAGCTCCCTCTTCACCATGCCAGTCCGGCGCAACACCTGCATCACTGCAGAGGCTGCACCAAACCGCCAATCCATCTCATGCTCATTCTAACCTAATTCATGAACAAGACCCCGAGATACTTCAACTCCTTCGCTTGAGAAGGGCACACAGAACCTTTAAGATTATTATGAATGAAACTACACTAACAACAGGATATAAAGCAGTAGCTTCATCTCAACCAACTGTAACAGTAAAATGCTTCTTACTCATTGTGCATCATTATTAATAATCCAACAATAAAATATACACTAATATGACAGTCACAGGAGCTATTTTTCCTCATTAAGTACTTTTATTTTTGATACTTATGTGACTTAAAGCACCATTTTCAAAGTGTCTGATTTAGCATTCCACAATGTGGATCTGACCACTGCTTTACTTTAATACTTTAGTTGTCATTCTCTTCACTTCTGTTTTCAGAGTTAGAAAGTTTAAGTGCTCTGGATAAGAAACTTTTCATTCTAAAAATGCTCTCACTTCATGTTTATTTATACAGACCTACAAGTTAACAAGAATAGAACATGCACTAAGCTAATTGTTGCACAGCATTAGGTAAGCATTTATTGATTTCTCTAAATTCAGAATCCAATAAGGAAGCAGGATACTCACTGAGCACAGAGCTCGAGAACTGCGATTGGTGCAGACCCGTGTGCCTCCCGAGCTCCGTGGCAACAACGCCTGGGTGCACAGCATTCACCGTGACTCCTGTGCCTGTTACACACACAGCTTTGTTTAAAAATACATATCCAATGGCCAATTACAAACAAGAACATAGGCCGTACTCCCTCCCACACATGCCCACATATGCAACAGCCAGTAGACTTGCCTTGTAATCGCTTGGCGAGCTCTCTGGTGAACAGAACATTGGCAAGCTTGCTCTGACAATACGCCTGCTTGGTATCAAACTTCTTCTTCTCCCAGTTCAGGTCCTCGAAGTCAATCTTTCCAACGATGTGGGCGAGTGAGGCCAGGTTGATCACTCTGCTGGGGGCGGACTCTTTCAACTTATCAAGCAGAAGATTTGTCAACAAGAAGTGGCCTGGAGGAAGACAGAAACTCTCAGAATCAGGTAGTGATGGAGCGAAGGAGACTTTATCGGAATGTAAAGATAATTTAGATCGATTTTCTTAGAGCGAGTTTCATTTAGATGTTAGATATTCATTCAAGTACCTAAGTGGTTAACTCCAAACTGCATGTCGAAGCCATCCTCTGTCTTCCCTGCGGGACATCTCATGACTCCTGCATTATTTATCAGTACGTCCACTTGCCTCTCTTCTATAAGACAATAAAGATCATGTTTCAGAACTCTTACTATATGTGCTTTATTTCTATAACTTGCCACATAACTGGAGAAGTGACCGTGACATGTCTCGTTTCCTCACCTTGTCTGATTCTCTCTGCAAACTCTCGGATGGATTTCACAGAAGCCAGGTCGAGGTGACACGCGTAAACGTTAGGATTCAGTGTCTTCCCTCGAATCTCTTTCGCAGCTGCCTCGCACTTCTCCATGTCACGACACCCCATAATGATCCGACCCCCTGGCGATGGCGAAATGGGAAAAGGAGCGTGTCACTGAGAGCAAAAAACGACTAAAGATTTCATGAAATCTGTCTTTTTGGACCAAATCACGGTCAGATTTTCTCCACACCTCTCTTGGCCAGTTCTCTAGCAGTCTCCTTCCCGATGCCTGTGTTGGCTCCTGTTATAACCACAGTCTTCCCATTAATGGTAGCCTTACTGGGACACCGGCCTCCAGTCACATGGTTCCTATGAGAAGAATTAAAGTTCAGTGCTGTCTTGTTAAGGCACTTGAGACTGTGACAACCAGGTTTAATGGATTTCTCTTAATCTAATGCAAAATATTGCTTGCTTGGCTCTAACTGAACATGGACTTATTCTGTCTTGTCCACTTTGCACCACAAAAAATATAGTTTCATACATGTGTACATTACATAACAGCCCTAAAAGCTCACCAAATATGCAGCTCAATGCATTTATTCAGGAAGACGCTTAGCTGCACGTTAGAAAGCTCCTGCTACAGGTCTACACCACTTTTAATCCTTGAAAAAATACTTAAACCCCCAAATGATCATTTGTATATCAATAACTCATCCCGTGTTGTGTTAAATCTGTAAAAAATCTTTGTTTTTCTCACATGCCTCTGCTGAATGAAAATCAAAGTCTCATTTATCCAGCCGTATGCTCAGTACTTGCCAAACAGACAGCCCTTTCCAACGGAGAACTGAACTAAAAAAGAAACTCCTCTACATCTTTAAAGCCAGACTCCATTGACAAAAGCAGTAATTTTACCTCACTGAACACAGGAGCTGCTGGTCTACTGCAGCCTCGATTAGTTACTCAATTTGTGTTACTGTGTGACTTTGGTGTTTTAAAGGGTTAGCTCGGATTAAGCAAAGCCACACAATAACACCAACAAACTCCAGATTGAGGCAGTGGTGGACCAGCAGCACCTGTGTTCAGTGTGGTTAAATTATTGCTTTTGTCAGTGGGGTCTGGCTTTGAGGAGAACACGGGAAAGTTTCACTTTTAGTTCAGAAAGAGCTCCGTCTTTGGGGCGTCGGTGGCTTAGTGGTAGAGCAGGCGCCCCATGTACAAGGCTGTTGCCGCAGCGGCCCAGGTTCGACTCCAGCCTGTGGCCCTTTGCTGCATGTCAATCCCCCCCTCTCTCCCCCCTTCACGCTTGTCTGTCCTATACATTAAAGGCCGAAATGCCCCAAAAAATATCTTTAAAAAAAAACAAAGAAAGAAAGAGCTCCCTGTGTGGGAAGTACTGAGCCACACGACTGGATAAATGTGACTTGGATTATGCAGCATGAGTTGTATGAGAGTTTATAGACTGTTTTGATGTAGTTTTACTGTTGTTAAACGTGAACCCCTTTAACTGCATGTGAGAAAAACAAAATTGTCCTCACGCATTCAACATAACATAGGGTAAGCAGCTGATATAAAAATGGTCATCTGGGTTGGGGTAAGGTAATGAACATTATTCTACTCAAATGGTCACAGTGGGCAGCTGCAACACAGCCACAGAACTCTGGGGGCCCTCAAAAGCTGCTGTTTTAAATAAGCATGAACTGGTTTGTGCCAATTAATTTGTTTGGGAATATGCGGCACTAAATCACAATATAAACTGATATAATTGGCTCAGTTATTTGGAGCCAGGTTTGTAATTACATGATGTCACCGAGCAGTCTCAGCTACATAAATGAAAACACCTGTGTGGGTTGACTGTAGTTTCGTAGGGCCTTTAAAGTGGGTCCTGCTTTTGATTCAGCCTTAAACTTTTGGACTTGATGTTTGGCAAAGTGCATTTTGTCCTGGACTTAACTAAAGTTCACACCAGCCTAATAAATTGTAAATGAGTGAACAGAGTGTCATTAATATTCTTATAATCTATTTAATCCAATACAGTCAGTCTTTTAGAAATACTTTCTTTGTGACTGAGCCAAGGAGACTGTACTTTGTGGGGTTGTTATACTGGACTGTACTATGGCAGTTCAGTGCTGTCCCCTTACTATGGGAGTAACAAGGTTTTAAACTACCACTCTATGACAGTCTCAGCAACAGTTTAAATGTGTATTCTATGTATCAGATACAGGCGTCCAACACGTCTGAGCTTAATATAATTTTCTTATCAGCAGCAAATGTGACACACACAGTATAAAACATACTGTTACACCATGATACAGTGGCCTTATGTCATACTATATCATCATTTTTACTCACTTCAGTAAAACTGCAGCTCCAAACACTGTCCCAAAAACAGAAACCGGTAAAATATATCTGCTCATGACTCTAAAATAACGCTGACGGTTAAATATAGCATCAAAAATGATTTTAACACCGTTTTCACAGCTGATATGACAACACTACAGCCGAGTAGCACAAGGTTACACGCGCCTGTTTTTAGCGTCATCAACAGAAACTAACCAACCGCGAGGAACCACAAAGCCCAACGGCATTGTGGGAAATGAAGTCTCAATTAAATACACGTCCAACACGTCCAAAACATAGACTGTATAAAGATTTTTTTGGAGTATTGGTGCATAAAATTAACATATTAATAATACCATATAAGGAGAAAATTAAATTAACAATAGAAGCAAGTGTTGCAAATCAAGAGACATAAACATAGAACAAAATAACAAGAAATTATGATGAGAAATTCTATTTTTAGATATGAAATGCGGCTCAAAGTGCTTCACAAAGAGAGGGGGGAAAATGTATAAAAGCATATAAAGGTGGACGAAGCAATAAAATAAAGAACGTTGTTATGAGAATCAGAAGGCACAATAAATTAGATAAAACACCAAAATATTCAAATACCTAAAACCAGAGACATATAATAACAATGTACAACCTATGCATTAATATCAGAAGAAAATTACAATTAAAAGATCTTAAAATAAATAGCATTCAATAAAAATATGGAATTATTGTTAATAAATAATAATAAATATTATAAATATAATATTATATTAGACTGGCTCTAGAGCTTGTTTGTGGGTGCAGTTTATTGAATTCTGTCCATTTTATGAATTTCTTTCTGAAAGTCTTTTATATATATATATATATATTATATTTTCCATTTATTATATTGTAGTTTTGTACATAGATGATTGTTTTTTTCATGTGGTATGCTATGGACCTCTCTCTGTGTCCTTAATAGAGTCATTATTATTATTAATATGTTATAAATATAAATAATACCATTTCAAATATATATATAATATATAATTATAAAATAATTGCTCAGTTTTTCACAGTGGTAGTTATGTGAAGAAATATGGAACATATTCTCCAAGGAATGTGCTAAAATTCACACTATGAAAAAAACCCACTGTTGCATGCGGTATGAGAACAACTTAAACACTTAGGCTGATACTGTGAGAATATGATTTTATTTATATAGAGAGAGCACCGATCTATCTACAGTTATTTCTGGTGGTTGCTTTTTTTTAATATAACATATATGGTGTTTTTTAATCATCTAAAAAACTGAGATACATCACAAATGGGGGGAAAAAAAGCCCGGCAACGTTAAACCAACCCGATTTTTCAGTTGCAGTTGTTGAATTTGGTTTTTGTTAGATGTCCCTGTGATCACATATTGGAAATAAAATACCATGAGAAAAAATAAAATTGGGTGGGTGGGGTGGGGGTGTTATGGGAGAATTTGGAGTTAGCAGAGAAGAAGAGGACTACATGATTCAGTGGGAGAGGGTGATGTGGCTGTCACTGCTTATTCTGTGTTTGAATTGTGAGAAAAAACGATGCGAAATGACTTTGCTGTTATGAATGCAATTGCAAAGTCATTCTATCTTTGGGGAGCCAAGTGAGAGTGAAAGCGGCAGAGTGAGGAGAGAGCTGAAGTAAGAGCCAGAGAGGAGCTGCCGGAGGGTCACCAATGCCTGGTGTGAGGTGTAATGGTTGGTTAAAGCTCTGTATGCTAGCAGCATGCTTTTGAATTCAATATTCAACTTTTTTCTCTGCCTAAATGTTACTCTGCATGTTCTCTAAAATGAAAAAATCCCCTTTCTGTTCATAGTTTAGGTACCTGCTATTTAGAAGTAGATTTGGATTGTTTCTCTGCACAAAGCAGTGTTTGAAATATTGACAGGGGAAAATTTTTGAAAGTAAATACGCCCACTGCTAGTCTATTTAAAGACACTCTATACTGTACTTCCCTCCAACTTATCCTAATGATGAAATAATCTATGACAAATGTAACTCTCACAAGAATCATTTACTCAGCAATTAACAGACAACATGATTAAGATTTATGGCGTACCCTCACAGTAAAGCATAGGCCGCTTTCATGACTGTAAATGTGGGTGATAAGAGTTTGTCTGCACATGAAGACAAACACATTAACTTCTTTCTACTTGTTGGTGCTGTACAGTGACATACAGTAGTTATCATGGGCCCCAGTGCACACCTGTCTGATGGGCCCCAGTGCCAGATATTGCATTGAAACAGCTAGGTATACTTTATAGTATCGTCACATAATCTAAATACAGACTTGACATTGGACAACTTCAACATACATATTACCAATCATCACTGCAAATCTGTATATGGCAAAAAAATACCAAATATATTACTAAATTATTCATTAAATGGATTTGTTAAATCATTTACTTATAGTTTATGTAAAAAAAGTTAAAAAAAAAAAAAAAAAAAAAAAAAAAGGACATTGGTGGAGATGGGTTTGCCTTCTCCAGGGCATATACAGCTTGTATTTTAACCTGTGGTCTCCTTTGAACACAGGCGTATTTCTAAGGTGGCAAGTTTAATCACTCACAAGGGCCCATTCTCTGCTCAAGAGAGAGCGGGCCCTCCAACCACTCTCTCTACAGGCTCCCCTACCCCCATGGGCCCCAGTGCACTGTCTCTATTTACACCCTATGTACTGTATCCTTTTGATCACGTTTTATATTTTAGTCCTAACCTCGTTCTCAAAACAGAGCTTTTAAAGTTTCTGTACGTAACTTTATTAAAAAAATCCCAGAGGAAACACTGGCATATGAAATTTAATGTGATATTGTGGTTTTAGCTGACTAATGTTAGCTAACGTTAGCTTGCTTTCTAATATGGATGAATTACTAGCTAGTTAATGCGGCAAAATACTGTACTGAGTGGATGACGTCAGCTAATTCATCCAGACTCCCAGGCTAGTTTGCAAGTTACTTTATCAGCTATGAAGCAACCAATGTGGTCCATGCAGCGTAGATACATTAAGCTATAGCTAAATGGGTGATCAACGAGCTAACCATAACCTAAGCCAGAGATATTGGATAAAGGAGATACCCCACCGTAGGCTTATCCAATGTTAAGAAAACGGTTACTCTTCCTGTCTCCTAAGTGGGCGTGGTTAGCTCTCCCTCCAATCAGAGCCTGTTCTCCCTCACCCTACGTCTCCTACGGGGGCGTGGCGCTGATGTCACTGAATCAGGAAGTGAGCTGAGTGGGTATCTCGCTTTATCCAATATGCCTAAGCTAAGGTTAGCCAGCTAGCTGTAAAGCTATGCTGTATGGATCTGCCATTGGTTGCTTTGTGACATCAGCTAATAAAGTAATTTGCACGCTAGTTAGTAGCCTATCATGGGTTGGGGAGAAAAGTTATTTTAAATATGATTGTAATTTATTTTCTAGTATTCTACCTCAGTGGTTTTCAAACTTTATATCTGTACACATTTGCCTCTATAACGTGTCACTCTAATCATGACATAAATGTTTATTTTTATTTAGGCCTACTAATTTAAAATAACAATTGACAAACAACTATTACTCAATATTTGATTCAAGAATCTATTTTAAACTAAATAACACAGCAATTTAAATGGGAAATAATGAAAGATAATGTGATGTGTCACACACTTAAAATTCCCATGCATGAATGGCGGCACATGGTTCCCCATGAAGGTTTTTTAAGATTAAATTATATTAGAGTAAATTCAATTCAATGTTTAAGTACAGTTTGTCTTTTTATTAGGAAATGGGTGCTCACAACATACTGATACAGTCCATTAAAAATTCACTCACAACGTTTTGTATAGGCCTAGTTGAACATTGCAGTAATAATGTGTGGTTATCACAAAATCCCATGGCACACTTGGATTTGCATCACGGCACACCAGTGTGCTGCGGCAAAACATTTGAGAACCACTGTTCTATCAACATGATGCCAATCAATCACGGTCAATCTCTTGTTTGTAAATGCTGTGGCAGATACCCAGGTGCTCGCTTGCGGCCACCGAGGACGCTAACTGCAGCTGACTAAACAGCCTCAGAGAGCAGTGTCACAAATAACAAGAATTTTCTGAAAGTTACATATAAAAGCTTTGAGTCCACAAACTTTAAGAGACCCTGCTCGGCTTGAGGCCCATCCCATCACTATAACACTGCAGTTTATAGGGCAGCTAGGACACAAAGTAAACTCTGCATGAAGATGAATTTGAGAACAGTGGAAAAACAAGGCCACCCGCTTGCAACAAGATGTGGAAAACTTGAGGTGACACATAAAAAGTAAAAACTAGGACGTGAGTCTGGTGTCTGAACACGGAGAGAGGAGGAGCGGCAATGCTCTATTTGTTCACAGCTCAGAGGTGTTTCCCCCCGGTGTGTTTGACCCTCGGTGCTCTCTGCTGTCAGCCGACGGTGCTTGACCTTCCCTATGATTTATGACGGCTCTGTTCCCCAAGATGACCCATAGGAAGCTCTTCGCCTCGCTGCCTCTTGCCCTGAAGCGTGAGACACTTGAATGTTTCAAAGAGATGCTGAAGATGCAGCTATTCAGTACCCACCCTGATATCCCAGACCAGGGCAAAAAACACCCTGGGTCAAATTATTTTGTTTCAGGAATCAGGGAGATCACATTCCCCTGTAATGCCTTTTTTTCAAGGCTTCATTCTGACTCTCTTCCTGACACTGGACTGCTTAAAAACAGTTTAGCTTTCACTCTTCATGCAGCCTGACCCACATCTCTCCAGTGGAAATCTGAGTTAGGAGAACAGAAAAAGAAGAAAAAGCAGAAAGAAGAGACGGAAAAATCATATTTGGGAGTAACAAAACAATAAATAAAGTTGCCCCTATAAATGTATTATGAGACTTTCATTTGGGGCTCAATGTGAGACCAAGATGAGAGTAAGTAAGACAAAGGATCTTCATCAGAGGTGGAGCAAAAGGTGGGAATCAGTGCTGTCGCTCCTCTGGTTTCCCTTTTAGAAAGACGAATATAGACTACCACCACCTGCTGGTATGGAGAGTTATTTCCTCTCACACTGGCACAGAATGTACATGCTAGCTGGCTGTTGACTGTAGTCTTTGTGGTGTGTTTATGTGCAACTTTTTGGTGAAGACAAAGGCGACGTGAGGCGATGCAACAGTCAGCCTTCATCGCCA